CAGCTGATAAACACCTTCAGCAAACTAGCAGGATACAAGATAAACTCAAAAAAAATCAGGAGCCCTACTTTTTTCAGACGATAAAGAGACAGAGAAAGAAATCAGAGAAACATCACCCTTTACAATAGCCACAAGCAACATAAAGTATCTTGGTGTAACACTTACCAAACAAGTAAAAGACCTATATAATAAGAACTTTGTGACTCTAAAGAAAGAAATTAAAGAAGATACCAGAAAATGGAAAGATCTCCCATGCTCTTGGTTAGGTAGGATTAACATAGTAAAAATGGCAATCTTACCAAAAGCAATCTACAGATTCAATGCAATCCCCATTAAAATCCCACAATTCTTCACCGACCTTGAAAGGATAATAATCAACTTTATAATGAAAAACAAAAGACCCAGGATAGCCAAAACAACCCTATACAATAAAAGAACTTCAGGAGGCATCACCATTCTTGACTTTAAGCTCTACTACAGAGCTATAGTTCTGAAAACAACCTGGTATTGGCATAAAAATAGACAGGTAGACCAATGGAGTCGAATTGAAAAACCTGATATTAATCCACACACCTATGAGCACCTGATTTTCGACAAAACAGCTAAAATTATACAATGGGGCGAGGACAGCATCTTCAACAAATGGTGCTGGCACAATTGGATGAGGGTGTGTAGAAGACTGCAGATAGACCCATGTCTGTCGCCATGCACAAAACTCAAGTCCAAATGGATCAAAGACCTCAACATCAATCCAGCCACATTGAACCTCTTAGAAGAGAAAGTAGGAGGTACCCTTGAACAAATTGGTATAGGAGACCACTTCTTGAATATAACTCCAGGGGCACAGACACTGAAAGAAACAATTAATAAATGGGACCTCCTCTAACTTAGAAACTTCTGTAAGGCAAAGGACACAGTGGACAAGACCAAACAGCAGCCCACAGACTGGGAAAAGATTTTCACCAATCCTATATCCGACAAAGGGCTGAATTACAAAATACACAAAGAACTCAAGAAACTAGTCAACAAAACACCAAATAAACCTATTAAAAATGGGGTACAGAACTGAAGAAAGAATTCTCAATAGAGGAAATCAAAAAGGCTGAAAGACACTTAAGAAAATGTTCCACATCCTTAGCTATCAGGGAAATGCAAATCAAAACAACTTTGAGATACCATCTTACCCCTGCCAGAATGGCTAAAATGAGAAACACCAGTGATGACTTAGGTTGGAGAGGATGTGAAGAAAGTGGAACACTCCTCCACTGCTGGTGGGAGTGCAAACTCACACAGCCATTTTGGAGATCAGTATGGCGGTTCCTCAGGAAAATGGGAATTAGTTTACCACAGGACCCTGCAATCCCACTCTTAGGCATATATCCAAATGATCCACATCCATGCAAGAAAGACATCTACTCAACTGTGTTCATAGCAGCAATATTTGTAATAGCAAGAACCTGGAAGCAACCTAGATGCCCCTCAATTGAAGAATGGATAATGAAGATGTGGCACATCTACACAATGGAATACTACTCTGCAGAGAAAAAAATGGTATCTTGAAATTCACAGGCAAGTGGATGGCACTTGAAGAAACCATCCTGAATGAGGTAACCCAGTCACAAAAAAGGAACATAGTACGTACTCACTCATATATGGATTTTAGACCTAGAGCAAAGGATCACCAGCCCGTAATTCATATCACCAGAGGAACTAGGATACAAGGTGTATGCTAAGAGATTCATATAAAGTCCCTCACAGAACTGGGAAGGGACAAGTCCCCCAGAGCTCAGGTGAAGGGGGGGGGGCAACGAATGGAGAGAGAAGTAGGAAAAAATGAGGGGGAGGAAAGGAAAACATGTGTGACCAGGAAGATTGAGCCTGGTTAGGAATAGAAGATAGGAAAGAGAGAGAGAGAGAGAGAGAGAGAGAGAGAGAGAGAGAGAGAGAGAGAGAGAGAGAGAACATAAATGAGGGAGCCAATATTGGTTTGAAGATAAAATTGAACACAAAGCGAGGTCTAGAGAACTACAAGACTGCTCCCAACTAACAATTTGAGCTTCTGTGGAAAGGCTATCATAAATGCCCTTCCCGGAGAGTGAGATCAACAACTAAATTCTCCATGGAGCCCTCAACTAATGCCTGTTGAAAATAGGAGCAAACACCCATACATAAACACTGAGTCGAACTAGAACCCAGATGCAGATGGAGAGGACAAGACCATGCGGCAGAAACACATAGAGACAGCTTACCTGAACAAGGAGGAGCTAACAGCCACTAGACTGATAGCTGGGAAGCCAGCATGGGACTGACTCAGGCCCCCCTGAATATGGGTCTCAGCCAGAAGGACTGAGCAGTCTAAGAGACCTCAGACAGTGGAGCCAGGATGTATCCCTGGTGCACAAAAGGACTTTGCAAACATATCCCCCATGGAGGGATAACTGCCTTAATCTAGAGACAGGAGAGAAGCCCTAGTCCCTACTTCACAGGACTTGTCAGATCTACATGATCCCAACTGGATGGCATTCCCCTACATATGGAATTGGGGTGGGGGATGGGAGGGGACAGTGTTTAGTGTGCATGTGAGAGGGCAGAGAGGGTAAAAGGGAGGGAAGGAGGGAGGGAGAGGGAACTGGGATCGACATGTAAAATAATAAATTAAATTAAAAAAAAAATGCTTTGACTCCAAAATTTAAGTTGAAGGACAAGTTACTGGGGAAAAGTATTTCTATTTTTGTTTCCACAGAAAATGAAAAGATGTGGATTCCTTTCAGACTAATGTGGTTTGATGACGCCAGACCGCCTGAAACAGAATACAAGGTGATCCTACATTCAAAACAGCTGGACAAAACTGCCCTACAGACTACAGCCAGGATATCTGAATCTTCTTTGAATCCCCCATGACAGCGCCCCTTACCAGCAGGAAGTAGTTTGGAAAGAACGACACCCAAATTCCCAAATATTATGTATAAATGTTTGTTTTTATTTAATTGGACTTTGTTATATAAAATTAAATAAAATAATAATAAAAAAGAAAATAATATGTTCCCCTATGGCTTATCCATACATCACTAATGTTAATTATATATCCTCCTTCCATCTCCCTCTGTGTTGTCATTTCCCCTCTCTCCCCAGGTGAGTGTCCCCCATTCACTTTTTTCCCATTTCTCCCTTCATAGAAACCATGCCCTACTATTCCCATCCTTAATAATTCTGTTACGGTCCCTGTTTACTGTTCTGGGATCTGCATTTACTCTAGGCTATTTACTTGCATCTAAAGATTTGGAGCTAGCATCCACAAATAAGAGAAAAAAATATATATTTGTGCATAGGGCACAGGGTCCTTGTACTCACAGATAATCACCAGGAAGGTTAAACACATAGGGTTATCTCTTCAAAAGAAGAGGTGTTTAACCTGTTTTCTGCCAAGAAGGCTGGGAATGGATGTGGTCAATAGCCTAATGACCTCTGTGCTCTCTGTAGGGTCAGGTCACACCTGACTCCACTAGACTCTTATGTTTATCTCAGTTATTCTCCCTAGACTTTTGTCTTTAGCACTGTTTCTCAATCAATAGAATCCATCTTTATGGAAGAGGTCATATGTACTTTGTAAAATGTTTCAATGTTATACACAGGATTGAGGTCATGGTCATCAGAAATTCTTTTTCCAGATTTGTACAGTGCTTCAGTAAACCTAAAATGAACTGCCCTGTGTCAGATTTTACAAGTTTGGAATAACACCTGCTACTGAATAGGGTTGACCCAGATTTTCTTCCTGTCTCTTATGAATCAACACTCTGCTGACCCTGGCGTTTGGAGAGACACTCTACACATTTGTCTTTCAGCATCTGTGTTACATGACTCAGCATATTTTCTAGTTCAGTTCAGTACCTACAAATTTCATTTTTACAGATAAATACTATTCCATTTTATATACGCATCACATTTTCATTATCCATTTCTCAGCTGAAAGACATTTAGACTGTCATCATCTCCTAGCTATTGCATAAATCAACACATATTTATAGAGTAAGGTATCAATTCCTTTGGGCATATGGCAAGTTGGTCATCTGAAAGATATATTTTAGCTTTCAGGGAAATTACACTGATTTCCAGAGTGCGTGCACCAGTTTGCAATCTTGCCAACAGTGAACAGGAAATCCCCTTTCCCCACAGTCATCACATTAACATTTGTTGGCCAATGTTTTCTTGGTTTTAGCCAATCTGAATGGACTTAGATTCATCATATTCATCATGAGATTATTAAGCAAGTGGCCTCTATGTTAGCTCTTAAGAGAAACAAATATAACAGACTAGAGCAATACAGTTTATCTCTCACATTATGATAGGGCATAATAAAATATAGGAGACTGAGAATGTATGGAACTTAAGGTATGTCTTATAGCGCAAATTTCCCAGGAAATAGTATACCAAATACTTATTCAAAGTATGGTCTCATATTATGTTGTACATGTTCAGCAGTGGCATCTTGTTTTTACCTATGGTGTTCTCTGCAAAATGTCTAAGTGATTGTGCAAGTACAGCTGGCTATAGCTTAACAAAGAAAACAAAATACAAGTAACGAAAGCAGAACTAGATGGTGCAGGTTTAATATTTGAAATATTTGGAACAGAGTGAATACATGTGTGTGCTGAGAAAACATCATCCATTTAATGGGGACTTAGTCTCAGATTCACAATGAGCCACAAGTCACCCTTCTTAGTTCCTGTGGTGATATCTAAGACACTCATAAAGGCAATCAGTTTTATTCTGAGTTTTACCTACTTGGGCTCCTTATCTCTCATCTCTACCAATATGTGGAAGGCAAGTTTTTCTACACTAACCCATAGGATAAAGACTTTAAAAGCTTGACAGATATTTTCTGGTTTGTGAACGAGAATCCCTGAAGCTGTCTTGTACTCATAATTCTAAACCTAGTCCTGTATTTGCCTTGTTAGAGACAAGCTAACACTTGTCTCTAGAAGTAATTATTTCTTTTTCAGAAAATAGTGAAGAATGAATTCATTTATTATGGAATAGAAGATAAAACAGGGAAGATGGAAGTTGTGGTACATGGACAATTTACCAATATGCACTGTGAACCAGGGGATAAACTTAGACTCTTGTGCTTTGAACTGAGCTCGTGTATAGATAAGTGGCAGCTGAGATCTGGGAGGCACAGTTACTTGCAGATGTGTGGTCTAAGGAATCGTCAATCTTCTAGTAATCACTTTTAATACTCTGCTAAGACTTGGTTATAACAGAAAGTAGAGTCCATTTTAGACATTAATATATGTAAACATTTTCTTATCATCACTTTCAAAATGGGTTTATTTTTCTTTGCTTTGCTTCTTCTTGCTTTTGTTTACTTGAAAATATTTTTTCATAGAATATATTCTTACTGCAGTTTCCCCTTCCTTATCTCCTCCCAGATCCTTCCCCACCTTCCCATCCATCCAACTCCATCCCTCTTTTCTCCCTTTATCTTTAGGAAACAGGCAAAACAAAATAAGCAGAAAGAAAGAAAGAAAGAAAGAAAGAAAGAAAGAAAGAAAGAAAGAAAGAAAGAAAGAAAGAAAGAAACAAGGGAGGGAGGGAGGGAGGGGGGAGGGAGGGAGGGAAAAGAAAAAGCAGGAACAACACACACATCATAGAGACAGGAGATCAGACATACAAGCAAATGACCAGTAGCAAAACAAAAAATGTTCAAAGCATTATGTAGCCACAACAACAAATTATCCAAAACTGCCCTTGAATCCATTTTGAGTTAGCCATCAATTTTAAGTATGGTTCATATATCCAGTGAGATTCCATTAGAGGAAATTTTTTTACCTGTGCACTCAGTTGTCTATTAGAAAGTTTTTTGGTTAGGGATGAGAGTTTGGATCCACTCTCCCCCTCACAGTGTTGATATCCCATCTGGTTGGACTTGTGCATGCCCTGTGCATTCTGCCTAGTCTTTGAGCTCATATGGTGATCCTGCTGTGTGTTTGAAGGTCTTGTTTCTTTCGTATCTTTCACCTCTGCTCTTGCAGTCTTACTGCGTCCTCTTCTACAGTTTCCTGAGCTCTGGGTGGAGTGGGGGACTGTTGAAAGCATTCCATTTAGCCCTGAATGTCCCAACATCTCTCACTACCTGCATATTGTCTAGATTTGGTTCCCTGCATTAGTTCCCACCTACTGCAAGAGGGAGCTTCTCTTGTGATGGCTAAGTGAGACACTGATGTATAGGTATAGCAGAACGTTACTAAGAGTGATTTTGTTACTGTCTTCCTAGCAGGCCTATACTTGATTTTCCCCTCAAATGCAACTTGGAAATAATGTTCATCACAGAGGATGATGAACAGAACTCACAACAAGTACCATATTTTTCACATAGATGCCTTAAGCAAATTAGAGCACAAAGAACCAAAGTCCAGGCTCTTGTGCCACAGAGGGATTCATTAAACACCACAAAAGACTAAGCATTACACATAAATGAAATATAAAAGCTGACATATTCAGTCACAGGGAAAAGCTTTCACATTTCCCTTATTCTCAGGACCATAAGTCAAACATTTCAAACTCCCCACAAACCACTGCAGCTGCTTTAGGCACGCCTTCTATACCATCCTATGCAATGGTGTCTTCCACTTTGGCACTGCAGTTTCTCCCTCCCTACTATTGCTCCTCTATATCTCCTGCTCTTCTGCTTGTGCCCATGCCAGATAGGGTGTGACCAACTCATTGTATGCTCTCAAGCACTGGGAACAAAGCTGATTCCAAGGATAAAGATTCAGTAAAGGAGTTAGGTAAGGAAAGAGAAGTGGCTCATAGAGACAGTGTGAGTAAACAGGTGTGTGGCCAACTGCATTTCAGCAGATCTGACTTTATCCTTTTCTTCTTCAAGGTCATTCAGGCTAGGACAAGAGACATAGAACCACCCAATCTTCATTCAGTTATGGATGAACCCTACACTCCAATTTAAGGACAACTGAACAACATTGGCCATGATGTTTGTTGTAATAAGATGCCGGTTCAGAAAAAAAAAAAGTGTATGCAGCATATATATAATATGTCTCTTAATTCTAGAGAATAGCGCCCTTTGACTTTGTTCTTTATATATTTTAGATTCTCTGCATTTCATATTTTTCACGTGTCTGCTTCAAATATTGTAAAAAAATAATAATAAACATTTTATCTAAAGCAGTTCAGAAGTCTCTTTCATCCATTTATAAGTTATGAAGTATATAGCTTTTGTGCTGTGCAGATCAGGGTGAAACACACAGGGTTTGAGAAATATCTTAACTTGTACTTTGGCTGGGATAGCCAAGGACAGAGACCTCTTCTTGAAGGCTGTATTCCATGCAGAGAAATCAAGTTAAAAGTAATGTAGGGTCTGGAGTACAGTCTGATTTGTAGTCAACAAGGCTTATGCTCCAAGGAGAGGTTTAATTGGCTGACGGAAAAAAATACTGATTATTTTATCAAATGAATTCTCTGGTGGTTTCATGGAAGCACTAGTATGCTAGAACTGTCAGCCCTGTGAAATGAACCATCTGAGTCCATTCACTTACTCACATCCCTGGGTTCAGCAGTAATTCTCCCATCAAAGTTCACTTGCATGTGTGTAGAGCTACTGGGAGGTATTCCAAATAAAGACTTATATCAGGCAGATGTTGAAGGCAACGATTTTACTTTTGAGTAGAAAGACAGAGAACTTGGGTGTGTGTATTAGGGGTAAGAGTGGAGAAACCCTGGGGACAGAAGAAGAAAGTTCACTACTATAAGTTCCAAGGCCATTCATTTCCAACTGACATATGGGAAAGAATCACTAAAGTTCTACCACTATGTACTGTGTCTAAAGATCCAAGACTCACAATGTTTTGCTTTACTTTCAATTTTCACTCTCTGATTATGTGTCATATACTAATTTAGATGCTAATTAGATATCATATATCCTTGCCTAATAGTATACTAATAGCGCATACATGTGTGTAAGCATTTATATTTGCACACATATGTACTTAAGTATAGTTATATGAATGCCTAGGTATGTGTATGATCACATATTTACTTACTTATAAAAAATTAGTTTAGTCATCATATCCCTTAATCACAGATTCTCATTTTCTTTGCTACCATAGGTGATCCAATGAAGTGGTTAAAATTATAAGATTACTGTGCTGGCTAGGAACCAATGTCAGGAGACATAAAGGAGGCCAGCACAATCTAATCAACAAAACAATTGACCAGCAAGATACTACAATACTAAACATCTATGTGCTAAATTCTGGCTCACCCAAATTCACAAAAAAAGCATGTTTCTGGACTTCAAAACACAAATTAACTGCACCTCAGTAAAAGCAGATCATTTCACCACACCACTTTGCCCAGTAGACAGGCCACTGGGACAAAAAAATAGGGAAACTTCAGAATTAAATGGCATTATGCAACAATTAAACCTAACAGTTATCTGCAGAACATTCCACCTGAAATGAACCGAACACACATTCTACTCAGCAGACCAGGGAAGCTTGTTTAAAACCAACCACATAACAGGAAACCAAACAAATCCTAACACATCTTAGCTTGTGTAGGCTGTATTTTAGAGTCATAGAGAAGAAATTTTGCCTAAATATAAGTCATAGAGAATCCAGTCAGATATTTTAAAGCTTGAGATTTTTTAAATTTATTTATTTTATATAACCAAGTCCATTTAAATGAAAACAAACATTTATAAACAATATTTGGGAATTTGGGCATCGTTCTTTCCAAATTACTTCCTGCTGGTAAGGGGCGCTGTCATGGGGGATTTTAAGAAGATGCAGAAATTCTGGCTGTAGTCTGTAAGGCTGCTTTGTCCAGCTGTTTTGAATGTAGGATCACCTGGTACTCTGTTTCAGGTGGTCTGGCTTGATCAAACCACATTAGTCTGGAATGAATCCACAGCTTTTCATTTTCTGTGGAAACAAAAATAGAAATCCTTTTCCCCAGTAACTTGTCCTTCAACTTAAATTTTGGAATCAAAGCATTTTGTGAGTTATGAATTAGGCCCATTATTTTTAACATGGATATCTAATTGTTTTAGTAGTATTTGTAGAAAAAATATCCATTCTATATTTTGCATTGTGTTTATACATTTACGGGAAAAACAATATATTGTAGACATGTGAGGGATGATGCTTTCATGCACTCTATTAGGATTATTTTGACTTTAAAGTATCTATAAATATTTTAATTATTTCACTAGGGCTCACAACATCTATCTGTAATCCCACAAAATACATTTTAAAAATATTATGCTGCTTTATATGCTGTATTAAGACCTTGCAATTAGTATTATACTCTTAACTTTTCCCTCTCATATTTTATATTTGTTCCTATATACTTTCGAATATTTTATAAACATTTGTAGTATCTTTGCTTAAGATCAGGAATTGGCAAAGTTGGTCTCTTGCCTGTTTTTAATATAGCATAGCTGTTTTTTATTAGCCAATAGACTAAAATTATCTTTTATATTTTTTCAGATGTCCAGGAAAAAATCCAAAGGATAAAATTGTGTGGCTGGGGAAAATTATGTGAATTTCAAGTTTCTGTGTTCACAAATAAGACTATATTATAATACAGGAAGATTCATTTCTTTGTATTTTTATGGCTATTGCCAGTGAGAAGCTAACTAACTGTAGCAGGGGCCACATGGGCCAAATAGTTCAGTATACGTATATGCCTGGGAGCCGAGCTCTGGCTCTCACAATCTACAGAGCAACCAGTCTTCCACGGGTCAGAGAGACTGAGAACAAGATGCAGAGTTAGCAAGAAAAACACACAGACTTCTATTCTGAGGGATAAAAGCTTCTACTTCTTTATTTTTTCAAAAACCCTTTTTGATATTCCCCACATCAAATCGCTTACAAAAAGAAGGATGTTTTCCATAACAAAAAGTTACATAGTTACTATATAGTCACCATAAAAACATATTTTTCTAGAACAGGTCAACTCCATTGTGTTTCTTTACCACATCTTATGCATTTCCTGAGAAACCCATATTCAGTCAAACGCTTATCTTTTAGACTTCTCAGGGATCAGGAACCTTTCAGCCACAACCATTTATATAGGCAGTAGCTCTTATAATTGCCAGAAAAAATAGGTCACTTGTCTTACTTTCATATTTTAGAGTCCTGTACAATTACCTTAACCATCCAATTCTTTGTTTTTTAGTTACATAAGTCATTATTTTAAAGCTTTGTTTTTTTTTTAGCTGTGTTGTACACTGAAACCCATGAACACATTTCCCAACATCAAGATTTAAAAACAAAAAAACTTGAGTTAGCTTAACTTCTGGGACTGTATTGTTTTCCTTAATCTTTAACCTAAACCACAGTCTATATGACTCATCAAGTGAAACTCATAAGTCCTATTTTCTATCCTATTTTATATCCTATTTTCTATTCCCTGCTTTATCAGGGGCAGGACCAACACTATATCCTATTTTACTTATATTAATTTTCCCACTAAACTATCTACATAATCTATATACCTATATAATCCATTACTGTACTTGTTAGGAACCCTTAATCACCCAAATTCTATTTAAATTAACACTGTATTGTATAAAACCATTACTTCCGTTAATTAATTCATTACTTAAATAAAGCTTAAGAAGAAATCATCTTGATAACAATCCACAGGTAAAAATGCCCAGTACAATAGGATATTTCTATGAGATAATCACACTACATTAAAGGCAGTGGGGACTCCACCCCCACCCCTCATGCCCATTTACACCATGCCAGATACCAAAGAAAAATGGCAGTGGCAAACATGTAAAGACACAGCAGTAGCAAGAGACATTATGGATCCAAAGCCGGTGACCCACACCTGTTGAAGATTCACCCATCAGTGCCTGGCATTATGGTGAGCTGAATACCTGAAACTCAATTGCCACCTGCTGCTGGTCTGACATTGCCACCAGGAGCAACCTTTCTGTCTCCTCTTCCACAATGTTCCCTGAATGTTAGGTGCAAGAGTTCTATTGTAGACATATCCACTGGGACTGGGATACACAACTCTGTATTCTCATGTTTGTGATTTTCTGTAATGCTCTCTATTGCAAGGAAAATTTTTCTTCATGAAATATAAGGACTACATTTATCTATGTGTATATAAGGACGAATACTTAGAGTATAGTTAAGGATTATGCTGGTTTAGTAAAGTGGTAGTAGTAGGTTCTCCTCTAAAATTCACTTCATTAGCCCAAGGGAGTTGGCTAGTTTTCAGGAATGATTTCTTTCTTGTTGAGTGAGTCTTAAGTCCAATTAAAGAATTGTTGGTTACCACTAAGGTATTCATGACACTAATTCATCCTTAAGATTATTTTGTCATGCTAGTCACTTTTATGGTTCTTAGACATCACAGCTGGATATTACTGATGGTTGCTTCCCTCTTTTAGAACCTTGTATAGCATCTTCTGGGATCATGAAAGGTAATCCTTGGGTAGAAGACTATCAGGTCAGTTACAACTCATGCCTCTAAACCCTGTGTCTGAAGTGCATGTTATCTTCAGCAATATAAACTTAATGTCACCTCTGGGGGTCAACTGCAGTAGCCTGTAATATTTAGGGAGTCTCTTAGACAACCCTGACCAACAACTCAAAAGAGGGTTTCTCATTCCTGGTGTTGGGATTTTTATTAGATTTTTTTCTGTATTTGTATTTGTATTTGCTATACATCTGACAGAGAATTTGTCTAGTATTTATCCTATTTGAACTAACAGGATAAGATGATGAGCCTGTAAACTGTTGTCCCCAGGCAGCTCAGTCAGGATGCAGTATTAAAATTCTTCAACAAAATGCTGTTTAGGTGAGTTGATGTCAACACGCACTTTCTTTCTCAGTTTTTGGCTTTGTGGCCTTAATAACCTGGGTGGAGAAGAAAGATGTAGACTGAGATTGATCAGTTAACTCTTCTCTCCTTCCAGTTACTGTGTTCTCCTGGAATGGACTCCCTTCTCTTATATCTTCTTCCCCTTCCCCATGATCCCTTTAATTTCTTCTCTCTTAGATGACTCTCCTGAAGAATATATGCTCCAAACACACACATTCCTACATAATAATAGTATATGTAAAGATTTCTCAGGTCTCTATCTAAAACTTAGAGAGACAACAGTCCATACAAACACTGTTGAATGGAGGGGAAGAGAGTGAAGCTGTGTCAATAGGATTAGAACAAGGGTGTGATAACTTAATTAACTGCCCTGGACTATGACATATGTAGAAATGGTTGGACTGCCTCAGAAATTTTTTCAAGTTGTTTATAGTGTGCCTTAATTTTCAAGTACATTTGTCACAATGATTTGTGCAACTATGGGCAACTGCCTTCATTAGACTTAGACAGTAATCAAGAAAACTCACTGTGGAGGTGAGAGAGAAAATTGTATGTGTGTGTTTGTATGTGCATCCTTGGGATACCCATGAGTTTGTAATTGTGTCTCTAGCATTTGAATTTTCTAAAGACAGTCTCCTCAGTTCTGTGAGATGCAGATGTGCTCACTACACGGGGCTCTTTTCTGTCATATCATGTTCAACAGCCTCTTTTCACATTTCTGAAATAAAACACAAAATAAGGTCCTTTTTTGAGAACTGACATTCTTCCATACCTTAAAGAAGCTGTAGGGTCCTGATTTCAACTGTATTTTCTCTCCACGTTTTGACACCTCAAAGAATGTGAGTCTAATTTTATCTCCTTCCTCACATTTTACTTGGTCCTGGTTTCCAAACACCAACACTTCCATCTCCCCTGTACTGTCATGTATACCATATAGTACTCTGTCTCTTCGCTGTTCTATTATCTGTGAAAGAAAGACAACAACCAAGCTTTCCTGAGATGACTAAGGAAGGGCAGCATGAAAATCAATTACCAGACAAGACAGGAATAGCTTTCCAAAAGAAGCATATGGAGCAATTCCAGCTTCCAAACTAGCAGGTTTCTACTTAACAGATATTAGCAAATCCCAATGGAGGAGGTGGGAGAATTTTACTAAAAGCATGTTGCCTCTTATGTACATCTTCCTAGTCTTAAGCTTTTTTCCTTTGGGAAGCCAGGATGGCTCATAGAGACAACTAGTAGACAGGGAAGATGGGTCTTCTCCAGGCCAGTATATACAAGGCAGCTGGGAAAGGAAGACCTTGTGGTTAGGAGGATCACTTAATGAAACAAGTCCAGAGAAACATGAACTAACAGTAAAATACCTAGTGAAGAAATCTAGAAGTTAAAATTCAAGGACAAAAATCATTCACAATCAAGTCCAGATTAGATGGAATCAGATGCTGGTGACATACAGTCAGCATTTGAGAATTAGTTTTATTGACCATGTAAATAGACACTATGGATAGTTGACCAAACAGAAGGTTCACTAGTGAGGTGTTAAAAACAGATATTTTTATGCTTTAATTTTCCAAGGCAGATAATTTTCTCCTGCTACTTTTTCTGATGGAACTAGAGAGGTCATCTGACTACTAGGTGCAGACATCAACAAGTTCCCTGTCGTCCCTTAGGATCTGTAGTAGGCCAGAAAATTGTTCACACAATTCCTGTGTGGTAGTTTAAGTGAAAACGACCCCCATAGGCTCATAGGGAGTGGCATTATTTGAAAGGATTAAGATCTGTGGCCTTGTTGGAGTAGGTGTAATCTTGCTGTAGAAAATGTATCATTGGGATTTGGCTTTGTGGTTTTAAAGGGTCAAGCCAGGTCCAGTGGCTCACTCTCTCTGCTTCCTGTGGGTCCAGAGGTAGAACTCTCAGCTATTTCTCTTGCACCATGTCTGCCTACATGGAGACTAATGGACTAAACCTCTGAACCTTTAAGCCAGCCCCAATTAAATATCTTCCTTTATGAGTTGCTGGGGTCTTGGTGTCTCTTCACACCATGGAAACCCTGACAAAGACCCCTGGTATCTAGCTAGGATTCCCTGCTAGCTCTTCCATTATCTTCATTCAACTCGAGGTCTTCTAACCCCTGCTCATCAGTCCTCTAGCTCATCAATGAGCACACATTTGCTCAAAACAAAAGTGACTTTGAATGTGGATGGTAATAAGTGTATAACACAGAGGGGGAAACAGCTGTGTCTGTGTTTCAAAGGTTATGAGGATTAAAAACATAAGTAAAAGTGGCTTCAAAATAAAAACCTTTGCTGGAAAGTTATATATATATATATATATATATATATATATATATATATATGAGCTTTGCACACAGGTTTTGGCAAATCTCATCCTACAAATCCTTAACTTCATTTTTTCTTTATTAAAATGGTTTAAACTCAATTATTTAACTGATTTTAACTGTTTTGTATTTTATAGAGGGAGAAAACATTGAAACATAATTTCTAGAGTTCCATTAAAACTTAGAATAATACTGTATTCTTGTTACCAATCAATACAGAATTGCATACAGTAACTTCCTTACCTTCTGGACTTTAAACATCCCATTCACAATTGTTCCACGAGGCTCAGTTTTCAGCTTCTTAATCATGGGAGTCCTCCCAGCCTTTTCCTTAATGCTATTTGGCACACAGACTTGGTGATCAGCATCAGCCTCAACCACAATTGAGGAGCTGGTCACCTCCAAGAACTTACTGTACCAAAGATAGTTTGATATTTTAATTGTTCTATGTGGGGTAAACTTATCTTTAAACTCTGCACTTAAAACTTTTACAAAGAAAAAATTTGTCTCTGTAGCCACTGTTGCATGGAATATTGTTTGCTTCCCTTTCTGAGTTTCACACTCGAAAGGCATCGTAGCTTTCAGCACCAGCAAAGCCAGTGGGTCTTTCTGTAAACCTTCTCTGGTGGCTTCCTGTCCTGCCACGATCTGTTTCTTCTGAGGCTGTGACAACAGAGAAGAGATGTTAGCTATAGGTCAATACTGTTGCCGTGGCGGCCTTCATTCAAGATAAACCCCAGCAAACCAGATAAGGCTGAATTGAAGGGAAGATGGAAAAGTTAGGAAATCATTAGACTTGGAATTACCTAGATTTTTCAAAAGGAATACCTCATGTTTTATACTCGGGTCAGACAGTGAAACTGACTCTGGAGAGAGTTTCTGAATCAGAAGCCTTCTTTGCCATGGAGTTTATGAAAAGAGTGTGTCAGAAACCTGAATCATTGCTAGGGGCTTATCCTGACCGTGTCTTCTTGTGATTTTATTAAAGCATTATTTCTCCCTCTAACACTGTTCTGAGCATTTATGTGGCTCTTGTATGAGGGTAAGAAGTTCAGTGATGTTCACAGAGTTCCCCACATCCACAGGAATATCCCTGTACATAATAAAAGTACAGCTCATTAAGTAAAGGAAGAGATTGTGGTATGAGATCCCACAGATGAGTTAAATGGAGAATGAAAATGAGAATCAAGTCTACTTTTGTGAGTTTACTCTTAGAAGCAATGTATCATACAGTAAGGCTTGCATCTCATTATTTGTAGTTATAAATCATTAAAAATCATTTAAATACCAAAAAAGGATTTTGTCAAATAAAATCTTATAACACAACATATAAACAATTAAATATGTTTCATAGAAATAATATAACAAACTATTTTAGTTAATTTAACAAAGGATAAAGTACAGTGCATGCCTTATTGAACAAATAACCCACATAAACCCACATATATTTTGTCAACAATAAATGGGCTTTCTTCTCCAAATTCAGATTATTGTGATTTGATTCTCATCTTATTTTTGTTGTTGTTGTTGTTTTGTTTTGCATAAGTGCAAGTGCATGTGTAGGCCTGTGTGTGTGTTCATGCATGTGTATGTTTTAGAAGCAACACTATTTTGTAATTAATGACCTATAAGCATAGGGAGACATTGAGAAAAAGAGGCTCAGAAGAGTAGGTTCTGAATTGGATCTCTGGTAGACCTATGAGTACATCTGATGATCAATATACCACACTCAATTTGGTCCAAAGCAGGAAAATGCCAAGTTCACTGGGTACTATTATAGAACTTTTGTCTGCAAGCCCAGACATTTTAATTGGATCATTCAAACTATACAATATGTATTTTCATGTCTATGCCAAGCACAGAGGAAGTGAGTGAGTGCTCTAGACAGAATGGTGTACACACCCTAAACTCATTCCTCTGTAAAAAGGACATGACACTTCCTTCATGGGAAATAAAATTGTTGGTAGATTTTGTGGTAGAGCCCTGCATGCTGCTTTCAGGACTAAGGGACCAGGACCCTCTTCAAGTTTTATTCCCTCTGCTACAAAGAGACACTTCCCATAAAAAAAAAAAAAAAAAAAAAAAAAAAAAAAAAAAAGATCAGACACATAGTGAATTGTCATTTCCATCCACAATGTGATAAACATGAAGGGCATTCTTAGTCCCTGATTCTCTTGTAGGACAGGCTGATCTCTTTGCTGCAATCCCACTGAACTTAAAATTCTCCCCATTCCCTCATTTTCTAAACCTCCCCACAAGAACTAATGCTGAGAGCACCCTAAAATATGATCACAGAAAATAGTCCCTATCAGAGTTTTCTTCCACTAGAGGCTAAGATCGCAACATGTTAGTATGGCCAGAGCATGGCAAAATTAGCTTTCAGGTATGTAAACTGATTAATTTAAGTGACTTTTCTTTTTGTAATGCAGACATATCTTCCCTACCCTCACCTTGTTTTCCTTCTTTGTATACTCTGAGACAAAAGGCAGAAGGCTTTAAATGCTGGATGACAGGGATAGTCATGGAAGAACGCCCTCACAAAGACCAAGGAGCTGTCCTAGCCTACCTTAGCCTGAGGACAGACTTCTGGAGCAGAGTGTTTCTTGGAGGCTTCATCTTTGCTTGTGGCAGAGGCTCCAGAACAGTTTTCATCTTTACTTCTTTCTTCTACTTCCTGTGTTCCTTTCTTCTTTGTATTTGTCATGTATCGACTATCAACTGAAGAGGAAGAAAGAAGTGGGGGGGGGAGAGAAAGAGGACAAGGAGAAGGGGTGGAGGAGGAAAAGAGAAGAAGGAGGAGGAAGAGTAGAAGAAAGAAGACCAGAAAGAGGTATATTAACCCAAAATGCACGAGCAAGCATGGCTGAGACATTAGAATATCATTTTCTCTCAAGAAGAAAATTAGAAGGGAGACAGCAGCAGGGTGATGGATTAGGAGTTTCCCCTCTTCGGCCCCCCACAAGAATACAACTCATGACTATCCACAGACAAGGCACATTAGGGAACATCTCAGAATGCAATGGAGGTATCTTCTAGAACCATGGAACCAATAATGTGTAGAGTTTGCAAGGACCATTTTTGTTTTTAACAATGTTGTCTCCCTCCCAAGATGGCATAGTACCATGCAGACAGAATCCCACACCACCACACCTTCTGAGGTGAAGATGGACTGCAGGTGTGAGCATGTGGCTCTCTCAGCATTATTGGATTCTGTAGAGGCTCTTTTTCACCTCATCCCATGAGGAATGCTGGGGACATTGGCAAGACTGGAATAACAGGGTCCAATTAGAAGTGAACAAAATGAAGAGGGTCTCACTGTGACCAATACATACTCTGCCTTATGGAGTTGCCCAAAGACACCATCCTATAGTACTATTAAAAGGCATGCACAACAAGTCTGTTGGCTTTAATCATAGCCAACTTTCCACTCAGCCTTAGCATTCTGTGTAAGGCTCCTCTGGACTTGCTGGATAAGGGTGGACACATATGTATATGTGTGTGGAGTGCATCATCTAAATCTGTCCAACCTCCACAGTGGAGTGATGAGCCCACTCAACCTCAGAACAATGTATAAAGTATCCAGAAAATTACAGGCAATCTCATGCATACAAATAACTTGGAAAAGAAACATCTGATCCTCCTGGCCACAACCTATTGTGCAACTCATTCCACTCAGCCTGGGGTTTCCAAAAAAAAGGCCTCTTGTTAAAGACAAGTTTGTGCCCCAGTACTTCCTCAGAGCATCTGGTCTCCTCAACTCTAGTGACTGAGAAATGATAGGGCTGGGAGGAATTTTGAGCCCAGCCTAGGGTTCAGCATGGCCCCAAACTGGAAGGAAAGCCTGAGATTATACATAAGTGTCTAGTATAGTCTCTTGCCCTGCCCATTCCAAATAGCCCAACAGCAGTATCATCCACAGCCTTTCCCAACCCCAGAACCCAATCTACAGCCATGCATAAATACATTCTGAGTATCAATATGGGATCCATATCCTGTAAACTTACTTAATTGAAGGTGATCACAGATGCTAGCCAGCAACTACACCTGACTGTGAAGTCCAGTTAGTGATCTTACTGGGCCATGCAATGTAGTTAGTTTCCTTATTTGACCACAGGACACACAGGCAGTAGCCTAGTCCAATCAGAGAACCTGAGGAGTCTCCCCATAGCTGATACCAGCTGACATATGCAAAAGCACAGCTGGGTTAAAGAATAAGGAAGATGAAGAGGAGGGGAAGGATATGAAGAAGTAGAAGAACAACAACAAAATAAATTGTTAATGCTTTCTCTTCCTCAAAAGTACAAACACTAATCACAAAAAGAATAGACCCAAAGTATGGGCCATCTAGAATATCAGTTAACTTGAAACCATGCAAGTCAGGCAACCATGTGGTAATGTATTTTAAGCAGTGAAGAAGAAAACACATAATTCCTCAGTAAGAACTTTTGCCTAGAAAACTGTCCTTCAGCAAGAGGAAGAAGTGGGCTAACAAGATGGCTCAGTGGATAAAGACACTTGTCTTTATCCTGATGACCTGAGTTTAGCTCCAAATCTTCCTTGCTGGAAGGAGAGAACTGAGCCCTGCAAGCTGTCTTCTCACCATCATATATGTGCTGTGACACACATATGACTCCCACAACCCCAAATTAAATAGGTAACTGTTAAAAGGGTTTTTTTAAGATGAAGACATGAAAACAAAAAGGCAAGTGCCTAGCTTCACATTTCAGGACTTGTCAAAGGCGCTCTTTAAAGCTTTAAGATTAAAAGTAGAGCTAATTGATAAATAAATAAATACAAATATACAGAACTCAATGCCATAAATCAAATGTAGTCATGTTTAGAATACTATAATGGCAAAATAGAAGGAAAACTTATCTCTAATACAAAGTTTAACAGAAAAAAATGTATTTTTAAAAACTATACCTACAATTAATTGGTATCTTGGAAAAATAAAGATCTGGGAAAACAAATAGGCTGAATAGATATTTATTCAAGGAGGTCCCAGTCCCAAGGGTGCCTCCAGGTGCTCTCTCTTTCTCTCTCTCTCTCTCCTTCTCTTCCTTTTCTGATCAGGAAGCAAGACAAAGACAAAGTTCCAGGGTCCCTAACCCCACACCTAGTTCTCCCAGGTCACAGCCGCACCTGTCCCCACCCCAATGGGCGTGGTCAGTGCAACAGGCACCAGCAGGGTAACTATCTCACTACAATTCCACTTTTAGTCTAAAAAAAATATTTAGGCTTAATACAAAACTATATACAAAGACAGTAAATGTCAAGTAGGCTCTAAAAAAGGAAAATTAAGAACATACAAACTTAAGACTTACATATCTAGTTCTAGGGTGAAGACATAACAGAGTTTACAATAGAGTTGTCTTAAGCTAGAAAGCTTAAGTCTAGTATCTAATATTTCTATTTAGGAAGAGAGAATAATAATTGTGATAGTCTAATCTTCAACCTCATCAAAGACCTGAGGAGGATAACAATTCCAGGGTAGGCAAGAAGTGCAGATGGGAAGCTTCCAAATGGTGTATCTAGGACAGAAACAGCAGGCTACCTGGACAGTTACCCAAAGTCTCACAACAATGTTGGTGTAATCAGTTTTGGCTAAGGCCTAGAGTATCTGACAGACCATTACAGAAGCAGGGAGGGTAGAAAGGCTGTCTTACCCTGACTTGGCAAGGTTTAGCAGTCTTCCAACTTTGTCTCCTGCAAGCACAGTAGGACAGCACATCCAAGTCAGTGGATGAGGTGGAGGTAGCTCTTTGCCCAAGAGGCCATTAGTCGAGGAGAGGATGGACTCCAGAATGAGCAACATCAGTGCCCAGCGAATTTTTTGGAAATGCATGGCGCTGTAAGGAGTAATAGTGTCTCATGTCAATAGAGTACTAATATTAAAACATTTAAATGCCATGTTCTGCAGATCTATGAAGTGTTTGAAGATTAAGCATAGATGTCTGACTAATCTCATAGGTATAAGAAACATGGGTGAAGACAATCTGTAATACTTAGGAGCTTAGCTATAAAAAATGGTTGAAACTTCCCTGAGTAAAGCAGGGACAATTACTTTAGTAATATAACTGTGTGTGTGTGTGTGTGTGTGTGTGTGTGTGTGTGTGTATTAGAGGTAGAGTAGAAATGTCTTGACCAGAGGTAGACATGTATAGTGTAGCATGACAAAAGTATCCTAAATTATATCAATATACAAAATGTCTCAGACATAAGTAAAGGTATATATATATATATATATAGAATATGATAATGATATTGTGTGCAAAAACATTACAAACAGAAAGATTTTACACAATATGACAAAATATAATAAACAAACTATCTAAGAAAGGAATACAAACTTAATTTTACATAGGTTACCACACATAAGAATCTATAAGAATGTAAGTTGTATATAACTAATAATTACTAAGATAATACACAAGACGATAAGCTAATCTACCTATATTCCATCTAAACCATATCTTTCCAAACCATACCCTATAAAAGAGATACCTGAGTCTGAGCATCACCTTCCTTACCCAACCCTAAGTATCTAAAACTAACCTATATAGATGAATATTATCCCTAAAAGCCAACAGTAGGGGAGGGGGGTACTGTTATCTTAGATTACGGCAAACTGCTCTAACAAAATGGTGCATGCAACGTGGGTACTAAGAACTTCCACTTAAAACTTAACAAAAGCATAAGAAATGCTTTTAAAAACAAAATAACAGAGACAAATAAGTCTTCTTGGTAGCAGCATTTTTCTTGGTTGGGTTCTGTTTTGCTAGAGACAAGCAGAGATTTGCGCAGATCCTTTAAGGGAGATTACCTGACTCAGCATAAGTGGCAAACCCTGCTAACAACTGAATGGTGTGTAGGAAGGACAACTGGCAGTGGCAATGATGACATCTCCAAGCCAGCAGCAAGCTGCTTAATGGCAGCATAGACCAAGGCAGTGAGCAAAGCTCTCAAAGCTGGTGGTAAATGTACCCCTGTCATCTTGGATAGACAGCAGCTAAAACAGCCAAGGCTTTCATTTTAGCAATGTTGTTATTTAGCAGATAAGAGACTCGTGGCCAGAAAAAGATAAAGATTTATGGTAAAGACAGATTAAAATAAAATAAAAAAAAAAAACCTCTAAAGGTTTATAGTGTGTCTAAAATATACTTAGGCTTGGGAGAGAAAAGGAAACAGGGTAAAGTGGTTTAAGGAAGGAGGAAGGAAGGAAGGAAGGAAGGAAGGAAGGAAGGAAGGAAGGAAGAAAGAGAGAGAGAAAGAAAGAAAGAAGGAAGCTGGGTGTGGTGGCACATGCCACTAATTCCAGCATTCAGGAGGAAGAGGCAAGCAAATATCTGTGACTTCAAAGTGAACCTGATATACAGAGTAAGTTCCAAGACAGACAAAAGTTACACAGAGAAACCCTGTCTCAATAAATGAAAAAAAAAAAAAAAAAAAAAAAAAAAAGCCATGTACATGTAAAGATGGAAAGTACACAGAGAGTCTGGATACTGTATGCTGCTGTGTTGCCTTTGTATTGTTTGACTGCTGAGGAAATAGCAAAAACTGTTAAAAGAAATGCTGCTAAATTAATCCAATTTATATATTTCAAAAATTCTTTAACTTCCAAATTTAAGTCTAAGGATAGGTTACTAGTGGGTAAAAGAATTTCTATTTTTGTTTCCACAGAAAATAAAAAGCTATGGATTCCTTCCAGACTAACATGG